CAGTGGCGGCCTTAGGGGGTGGCGAGCAGGGCAATCGCCCGGGGCCTCGCTCTTGGAGGGGCCTCGCGCAACAACCAAGTAGAAAAAAGTTGATATTTAAAACTTTTTATTTTATCCTTGGCTATTAGTTATAACAATAAAATAAATTTAATTTATAGTACAGTATATATTAATATTAATAAGTGCCTACTATTTCAATTCACATACTTTGCACAAAGGACAAGGGCCTCGCAATGGATAAGGCCGCCACTGAGTACCATATTATATGAATAACATTTTACATAACAGCAGCATAGTTGAGTAGATGAAGTGTTTGTTGCAGGTTTATATCTTACTTTTTTTACTGCTATCCAATAAGTAAGATTCAAATCTGCAATATATTTTTAAAAGCTTTTTTGTAATGTGCATTGAAATGGCCTATTAGTGCAATATACTTTTCTAATTAAAAAAAATTAGAATTTTGTTGTTATAATATTTACCTTGCACTTTAAACATATAATTTTCATTGTATTTCCAGGTAAATGCACAGCAAGACTACACAATAACAAAAATCATCCTTGCAAGTGTTGAGTTATTGATGTAGCAACACAAATGAGTTGAGAATGTCATGTAGTATAAACTATTTATATATATAATTGTAATCAACTACTGAATGGGTTCATATCATATAACATCCTCAACTTGTTCATGTTACTAGATTGACAATTCAAGACTAGACAAGAAAGGAACTTTCTATATACTTGACATCTGTTGCTGATATACAGTATTATTAACACAATGTGTAAAAATTAAAATTGTAAAAAAAATGGAAAATAATTTAAATTTTTTTATTGCATAGCAAATATACGAGGGTCATTCTAAAAGAAAAGAACGTTTTGATTAGACAAGCCGCAGAGTTCTCCCACCACCCTCCACTGCTGCGTCATGTTCCAATGTTTTCACGCCAGTCTGATGCTAACAGAGAGCCACAACAATCGTTTACTGTTTACAGTGCGATTTTGAAATGTGTAACAAAATTAAAGATCCAGCCAAGTGTGAGGTTTGTGGTATAATATGCTTTTTAAATGTGAAAAAAGTCCACCCTATCAAAATTTACAGACAGATAACTGAGATTTACGGTAATGTGATGAATGAAGCTTCAGTTCGAAACAAACGGCGGGGATTGTTGTTCAGAGGCATTGTGCTTCTTCAGGATAACGCACATCTGCATGCTGCTGTGATGATGAAGAACTTACTTCAGCAGTTTAAATGGGAAATTTTTGAACATCCTTATTATAGCCTGGACTAGGCTCCGAGTGATTACATCTTTTCCCAAAATTGAAAGATTTTTTGGCCGGGAATCACTATGGAAGTGACAACAAACTGAAAGAGGCCATTAATGACTGGTTCAAGAACTTGGCAGTAACTGAGTGTGCAGAAGGCATAGAAAAGCTGATTATACACTATGACAAATGTTTAAATTTGTATGGTGACTATGTAGAAATATAGCTAAGGTATCATATGTGTTGTAAAATAAGTTTTGTTTCATTATCTTAAATAAAAATATCTAGAGAAACAAATGTTCTTTACTTTTAGAATGACCCTTGTAGTTACATGTTATTGCATGTTGTAACTACAAAATACTGATTTTTTTGTTAAAATAAAAAAGGTATGTTGCACTAATAACCCATTTCAATGTAGAAAACTTTTTAAAAGAAAAAAAATGAAGATTCAAACCTGCAACATATAGTATAGTAAATGAACAATTCAGCCACTCAGCTGTTACTTCACCAGCAACTTTTAAAATATTATCCACATAACACAGGACGTAAGGAACATGGAAAACTTTAGATTCATTTTTCTCGTGAATGCTTGAGAGCTGCATGGAGTGGTTTTACCATAGATTACTGGAAAGGTAGTCCAATTTCAGTGAGGTCGATGTACAGTAATATCATGGTGGAGAAGATCATTTCTAGTGGACTCCTTGTTAGTAGGAGAGCAGTTAAAGATTTGTTTATATTTCTTATCAGAGTGAATATTTAAACATCTTAATATAAACTATGATTGGATCAATAGTAATGAAGAGAGTAAAATTTTTTCTTTCTTGTTAAGAAATATATGCAATCTGATAATACATTTCATTTTCCATGATATTCATAATATCATGATAGAAATAAGATCAATATAGAATAAAATTTTTTATATGTTTCTTAACTGATTTAATTCAATCTAGTCTAAAGCTTAGTATTACTGATTTTTACGAGATGTACTTGTCCATAAATATTTGAGATAATCATCTGTAATATGAGATTACTCTCCATAATATTTATGACAGTAGTATTAAATTTTCTCATGTTAAAATCATTCATGAAAATGGTATTTTACTTTAACAATTTAAATATATTTGCTTCAGTCATTTGAAATATCTAAAGTAAATCTATGTAGAATTACAGTATAAATTTTAATAGTTAAAAATAAAAGAGACAAGTATTTAAACAAAATCTTCTTGATATTTTCCAAACATAATAATAAGCTCCAAAATTTTCTTTCTTACTTTTGATGATTTCATAAGACTTACGCAATACAAATCATTAATGATACAAGGAGTCCTACCAAAAGCAGATATACCACCATCTATTGATAATGATAATAATGATTAAATAATTTAATTTTCAGTTAGCTTTTAGAAAAATTCATAAGAACTCTTGTAAATTGAATGAGAGCATTACAAATTTTATCTTTTGAACTTCCAGAAATGGACATCTAAAGTACCTGTAATATGATATTTAACCACTTTATCAGAGACAATTATATATCTACAAGGGATGAATTATTTTGTCCAGAAATCATCACAAATTACTGAATTCACCAAATTTACCTTTAGTATAATGATGATATTATATAATTAAAATGTTTCATATCTAATTTTATAAGTTATTTTAGCAATTTAGTAGTGCTGTGATTTTAAATTAATCATTTTGGAAAAGAAATTCTTCCCAGTCATTGGAGCACTTCAATGAAGAATTATTAAAATTATACTTTATTATAATAATGTTTGTAAATGCATTTTTTATCCAGTAGAAAAGAAACGACACAATTCCCAAGTTAGTTGAATTTATATTGATTTTACTTGAGTGTCCAAGAACTTAAGTCTGTGAGGACAAAAGATTCTTATTTTTCAAATCTGAACAACTTCAATGATATTTCACACAAAAGATGTCTTGCAATCTTGGAAATGCAACATCAGTAAAACAAAAAATTTATTCATTTACATTTAGAACAATTTTATTTGATTACTATTTATCTATAATTAAGTACATTCAGAGCTCTCTAATCTGACCAACCTGGGATTGTTATTTTGGATGATCAGAAAAGAGAATGGTCAAAGTAGAGAAGTTCTTCAAACCAGTTTTCAAGAACAACTCATTTTTATATTATACTTTTGTCCATTTTGGACATTCTTGTGAACTAGGACTTGTTATACTGAGGGAAGAGAAACACACAATTTCAAATTAAAATATATTTCATAAGAAGCTAAAAATTAGCAATATTTGCCAGATATAATCAGTCACTTTTATAATTATAACCACTTAAAAGGGTATTTTTGGACAAATATGAACTGAAATGTTATGTCCTTTGAATCAAACTCTCACCTGAGTTCAAGAATTACTAAGAAGACGATTAATTCTCAGATATTTTATTTAAATGCAATTCAGATTGGAATTCTCAGAATACAGTAACAATCTGATTGTTACTTTGATTGATTTCAAAATATCGGTGTAGGATCTGTCTCAGATTGCTCTTTACTGAAGAGGGATCAGCAAGAATTTTGATCCAAAATTCAAAATCATCATCTGAGTAATCCTTGAACTTGGGTGAGTGTCATATTCAAAAGACATAACATTTTGGTTTATTCATATAAAAAACTCCTTTTAAGTGGTTATAAAAGTGACAAAATATATTTACTATAACATAATCAAGATTACACTACAGTAAATATATTTTAATTGGAAATTGTGTGTTTCTCTTCCCTGAGTATAACAAGTCCTAGTTCACAAGAATGTCCAAAGAGGACAAAAGTATATTTAAGTAATTAAGGACAAGAAGCATTTATTAACAACTCATTTTTATGTAATAATATTTGATTTTATTCCTTTATTGTATTAAAAAAAGGAATAAAATCAATTTAATTAAACATTCAGGTTTAATTATTATTGTGTTACATTTTAAAAAAACATAATAGTGTTTTTTTTTAATCCTTGAAATTATCTTTAATTAATAGAAAGTCTCATTTTTTGAAGTGCTACAATATCCTTTTTGTATCTTTCAATATATACTGAAAAACCTCCAACAAAATGTTTTGTGCATTTACAGCTTCTGAAAAAGACTGTCAACCAGAAAATATGAAAAAACCTCTCTTATAAACCTCCATAATCTGACAATCTTCAATACCATATTCTTCAATATTTAAATATGCATTTTCACTTATTCGCTCTGCTTATTTAACTTTGTTAATGCATTCTCAAAGATTAATCTGCTCATTAGTCTCAACAGAATCAACTATGTTTTTGATAAGTGTGATATGATTCCAGCAATTAATCATTTCTGGGAAAGTTTCTTCCTTGTGCATCCACAACAAAACAAACTGTATCCAGTAAAGTTATTTTAGTTTTGGCTGTAGGATCTCTCTTGAATTCATTTAATCTATTCATTACATAAATTTCTTTCAATATTATGATATGAATGCTTTCTTTCAAAGTGAAATATTTATCTGTATTTCTGTATGTTCTAAATACATTTGTGTTTCTTGATGTGTAAATACAATACTGGCTTGGTTCTGTACACATGTACTGTTTTTTATAAATATGTTTTACTTTATCTAAATTTCCTTAATTCCCACCGTATAAATGTAATTTTATAAAAGTAATCAAACAAATTAAATAATTTCTAAATATATATACATACAGCACATATATATGTAATAAATATACTGTATTTTGACTGCAGTATTTTACTGTAATACTGTACAATTATGCATTAATACTTCAATTATGGCTAATTGCATAATTGAATAAGCATATGCTTGTGAGATGTGACTGAATCAGTCACTTGACAAAACCTAATCAGCCATGATTAAATAAGCTTCAGGTTAGAGACTACATAAAGTTAAATGCTGCAAACACAATTAATTTAGTGCAGTGTTTTCCAAAGTGTACACTAGGTGGCAAGAATGATACACTGGCACAACACAAGGTTTTATTTTTTGCAAATGAACCATTTGTATTATTTCTCTTTGTTATATTTATCAAATACTGAATAAGCAAAAATAAAAAAAAATTATGCATACTGGGATAAAAATATCCTTTGTTAAGATTAAAGAAAGAGTGAAACTTAAAAAAGATAGTCAATAGTATTTCTGGAGTGGTCATTTTATGTACAGTTTGACCGAATGAAGTATGCACCTGTCTATTATTGATAAGCGCCGCTGTAACTTATCACTTGCATTTTCAGCACACGCCACCTGTTATCAAAGAGTTTTGAGATGGATCCTTCTGATCCGTGATGAAATCGGGATGAGGCAGTTGGTCAAGAGGGGCATTTAAGCGGTGTCACATGACTGTTTTAATCGACAAAACTAATTGATGATAACTTATTTATCCCTGCTTATATAGCGTGAAATTTTTTAAGCTGTGAAGTTATGGTAATCATTTATGAAAAAGTTACAATTATATCTTTTATTTCATTCAGTTTTCTCCTTTTCAACATCTTTTTATATTTATTTTGTTGTAATTTGATTCAAAAAAGGAAATAAATAAACATATCAGCTTTCACTTGGCTCAAGTTTCATGGACCAACAGCCGTTTCATTTGTAATTGGAGAAGAAAGTGTTTTCTTTCACGGTCAGTGTAGAGTTTATTATTTTAGCCACCATCCATCCCACTGCTGTTATAAACAAGCTGTTAATTATAAATAAAAGCTCCAGCTTCCGTTCCGATGTCATTGGTGCTATCTAACCCTTTAAACATTTTCCCTTCTTCTCTATGTTCAACTACTAATTTTCCAATATCTTTTAATATTACACAAGACATCTTCATAATTTCTGCTAATCCAATAACAAATTCACTAATAAATCCAATATCGCTCTCTGAACGCTCTTTATTGTCCATTTTGTCACCTGCCTTTTGTTTCTCTTTTTTCCCATTAAGTGTTGCCTCTCATTTCCCTGAAAAGCAATTAAGTCTTGAAAGAAAGTCAAAGTTCTCTAATAAATTTATTAATTTATAAATTTTTAAATTAAATTTGCAATCCTATAGTGTACAGATTACTGAGGAATGATAAAAAGAATGGCAACCAGATCGCTACATTGGGCATTTACTCCATACTAATTAAAGACCTTCGATTTGGTTATGATAGTGTCTATGTAGGGGCTACTTTGCAAAACTTGGAATAAAGAGTCAAAGAACACAAGCACTCTATCAACAAAAATATGGATAATACCGCCATCTTAAGCCAACCAACATGATGTTAACGTTCTATGGGACCAAGCTTCCATTATTAAACCAACGACTAGCAGATACTCTATCAAATACCTTGAAAAGCTTGAAATTTATAGAGCGCAAGTAAAAACAAATTGTATAAATATTAATCATAGGGATGCTGAGTCTTTGTTCACAGCATGGAAATCGTTTTATAATGATAAATTATAATTGTGGCAGAAACTTTTTTAATGCAGAATTGTTGGTTAATTATATATATATATATATCTTTATATCTTTGTCATCATTTTGAATTTGATACTCCCCAAGCATGCAACATTGTATACGCATGCAAACTTATTATTTTTCATATTTTTAATTTTGTTATGTTCTATTTTCTTTAATGTTTTTTTTATTATTTTATCATTTAACTGGTGAAGACCTTAATGTTCTTCATCAGTTAAATGATAAAATAACAAAAATGAGACAGTCGAAAATGTTTTTACAGTATTAAATCAATTTGCTGGAGTATTTGAAAGGTGGTAATTTTTTATAATTCAGATGATATGTTCAGACACACTCAATGTGGTGTGAAGTTAAGAATGCTAACTCTTAGATTTGAAAAAAAATAACTTGTTAATTTAATTACATACAAAAAGCATTTTAAAATTAACATTCTGTTCTATATGCACATATAACATATAGACCAGAAATTTTGTCTGTTAAATCAAGGTTTTACTATACTTAAATAATGTTAATTATAATTTTTAATATTCATTCATTGTTATTTGATTATTGTTTAACTGTAATTCATTTAATTCCTTAAATTTTTGTTGATGAATTTTTAAAACTGATAAGGATGTTTCTTATAAAATCCTGTTCTAATTTAGATAGATTGTTCTTAATTACTTAGATACCAATGCTTAGATTAAAGATAAGTAAATAAATTTGAATACACAAGATCTGTGCTTTGAATTTTTTGCCTTTTAACAGAATATATCTGTCAACTTTATATATAATGGGAAGATATAAGATCAGTCGATTATATTACATAAATATTTACTATAGAATAATGTAGAGTAATATAGAATAAATGAGTCAAATTCCAAATATATAAGACATTCATTTTTACAGAATTCTAACAGAATCACAATTTTAAAAGTATTAATTAAGTATTTATGAGATACTTTAATATAAAAATTCAAAATTATTTAATATTAATCATGAAAAATTTATTTTTAAACTGATATTTTTTATTTATAAAGATATAAATAATTTTTTAAAATCTAAACTTTATTCCTATTTTTAAAATCCTATTTAAGAGCAGTACAACAGCCCGGAGAATGTTAAAAGACTTAACATTCTTTGAGTTGTACATTTACTTAACCTGTTATTTAGAGAGCCAACATAATAATGTTCACAACAAAATACTTGGCTCTCTAAATAGTAGTAGTAGGTTAGATAACTGAATAACTATGCAAACAATACATTTTGGATATTTGTTGGCTTAAATCTATTCTGTTATATATTAAAATATAATTGTTAAATTGTGTAAAAAATTTCCATGATAAATTATTAAATTTTTATAGGAAGAATGCAAGCTTTTATTATATTAATGTTTAAAAATCACAAATTCTGCATCTTTTTAAATATAAGATGTCTTGTTGTATGTATGTATATATATATATATATTTCCAACAAACAGTCTTAATAACATATATATAAATATATATCTTATTCAACAAGATGTTCTCTCCACTTAAAAAATAAGCAAGATTAATTATGTATGTATGTTTTTATTCTTATTTTGTATGGTTTATGGTAAAGTAATAAACTTACCAATTGGATATTCAATAGCCGATACTACAGTCCCCAATGTTGTCTGAAGAACTTCACTTACTTTGCGTGCAGTAACTTCAACATTGTCAGAAGATTTGATTTCTGAGGAAGAATCTAACATTAGAGAGGAATATAAAAACAATTTTAATAAAAAGAATTTCATCTTAAATATTTGATTATTAACCTAACTGAAAAAACTACTTTAATTTATAATAAGACTCAAGAAATTTTGAATATGTAGTAACTATGATCATCACAGTGACAATTTTAAGAATGTTTTTTATAAATTTTAATATAATCTTCAGATGAAAACTAACTTCATTTACATCACTCACACTGCATTTCACCCACTTACAAAACAGTAAATCTAATGGAAATTATTAAATTACTATATCAAAGATAGTAAATAGCATCTGATATAATAGTAATAAGTTTTTTTAATATCTTTGATGATATCCTAAATAACCATGAAAACTCTACTGAAAAATATGGAATATTTATATTATGGCAATAATAAAAGTGACTTTCACTTAAGAATACTTGATCTATGAGAATTCAATTAAATGAATAGTTTTGTTTTATATCTCTTCCATTTATCAGTAGTATTTGATGTAATGAGTGCCAATATTTACAACAAAATATTCTAATCACAAGTGCGATGAGATTAAAATTCCCATATGTTTTTAATTAAATGGCTTGTGTGTTCTAGTCTCCATTTTCTTTGTTCACAGAGTAACAAGTGCCATTATGCGCAAGCTTTTATCAACCAACTTCTACAAACATGTCTCTCTTTTTTTATTTAATGACACTGTGATGACCAATTTGACTCAGAAAGGAACTATGCATGGCACTGCTTAAATATAAACAAAAATGGCTGACACAAATCATTTCAGTTCCTGTGTGAGTAGTGTACAGTCGTCTTTAAACTTGGAAAACACACATGCCTTAAATGCCTTAAACTTTCACTTATATTTAAGGTGCTTGTGTTTTCCAATTTTAAAGATGATTACACACTACTCATACAGACATTAAAATCATAAATAATCTGAAATAGATATCATCTTATCAAACAAGTCAAAACAGAGAAAGCAAATTGGTCAGACAATGTCTCTTTCATGACAAACTGATTTCAGAAGCTGCCCAAATTCCACTCAAATTTGTCATCATCAATTACCATTTCAGCTATCCCTATTAATGGAAAGATTAAATTAATTAGCTTTGTTAGATTATTTAGTTTAATAAGAATAAATAGAATGTATTAAAAGGAAAATTATGTTTTTTCTCCATGACAGGACTTGTCTTCACTTTCTTGATGATCTGATGTATGAACTGGATACAGCCATTTAACTATGCAGCTTCTGACATTGACAGCAGTCTACCTTGCCAAACTGACATGGTTAATAAATACTGCACATCACTAATGCAAAATGACAAAGTTTTGTTGTTTCAATGTTTTCACTATGCTCCTGGAAGAAAAACCTTCTTTGAAAAGGCTGAGAATCATGCCTTCTAATTCAATATCCAATTTTCTTTAGGAGATGTACAAGGTGATTCACTTGAGCATGGCCGGATCATCGCATAGACAAATGAGACAAATGTCTAGTGCCCAGTTTTTAGAAGGGCCCGGTCAAACTATCTATTTTGAAAAGATTTGTAAATAAGATAGTTTACTTTTCTGTTGGACAACTGTATATAATAAACAAATAAACAAAATATATTGTTTTTTATATGGTTATTGTAAATTATAAAATCTAAAGAAAATGTGTACTTATGTTTCTTCTTATTGAAAGTAATTCTTCTGATAATTTAGATTTTTTTTATAGCAATTAAATATTTTTTATTAATAAAAAATTAAGATTTGTTTTAGTTTTTCACATTATTTAGTTTTGTTTTATTTATTGTTTTATATTTTTTGTGTGCTCTATTTCTTGTGGGAGAGGGAGGGGGCCCAGTAAGAAGAAAATGTCTACAGCCACAAAGTGGGTTAATCAAGCCCTGCACTTGGGACTAAAACACTTTTTATATGGAACTATTCCAAATAATACAAAAGGGTAAGCATGAAACATGAATGTGAAACAATTCTTTATTTCAAGATAAAGAAGTCAAATAAGTTATGTTTATGTTGCATGTTATTCAAATGTAACTGTGCAATCATGTAGTATTAAACAAAGTAAATATTCAGTTCAGAGTGAATCAAATCACCCTGTATATTTAAAAAATGATGGCATACATATTTGCCTTGTTGTGAAAAATATTCTAAAATGTTAATATATTCTAGAATATTCTTCACAATTGCACAAAGTAGCTTGGGTAGAGACACAACTTCCCACAATGTGCAATTTTTAAGTATGAGTCAAAGGTATACATCCTCTGTACTAGTAATGGTGGATCTGTAATTGTGTGTGTACTATCTGTTCAAGTAGACTTCTGGTGTATAAAAAAATGTTATTCCAAGTTTATGGTAATTTTTCTTTTTGCATACTTTAGTTTGTGATGAAGTTAGTTGTTTCTGTAGTTAATAAAGCCCATTGCTCACGCAACTTTATCTCATCCCTCTTTCATTAATGAACAAAATCCAGATTAACATCAGCTCTAAATAGTGCTTATCCCATATCAGACAACATTGTTATATATCTTTATCTATTTTCATGCTGGATTCTAACAAGTGTTTAGCACAAAAAACCCAAAAGATAGGACAAAATCAAATTAATTATATCTCAATTTCAAATAGATAAAATGAAAAATTTTAATGAATTAAGAAAAAAATTTTTAAGATGAGTATTACATCAATTTGATTACCTTCTTTAAAACATTTATCGCAGACACGAACTGGTGATGGACCCCAACCTTTGTCAGGAACAGGTTTAGAATTAGAGGAACAGTCATCACAGAATCCACCTCCACATGCTCTGCAATGATGTTTCTCATCTAATGCTTCAAACAATTTTTTGCATTGACCACAATTCTATGTTTTAAAAAGTAAGTTGGCAATTAATTTTATATTAAAAAAGCTGGAACTCAATTTGTTATTGACACATACTGTTATTTGTGAATTTGGTACCCAATAACTAGGAGCAACTTTATCTGCCATCCAACTACTGAGCATTTTTGTAGGTCTTGCACTAATAGAAGACATTGTTTCAGATATATACTGGACACCATCAAGAACTCTCTGAGCAGCATTCTGATTTCCTAATGGATGAAGTGAATCCTGTAACATGTAGAGATAATTAATAAAAATAGTAACATTAAAAGTTTTAATTGATGCAAATTGAGAAAAACAATAATTTTTCCACTTCTCAAAGTTAAATTATTCTAAAAGCATTTTAATGTGTTAAAGATAAATCATCATAACTATAATTTTAATTTTCTTTATTTATTTAAAAAAAATAGCTCATTTTTAGCAAGATAAAAAAATCAATTTAAATTAGATTGAAGCAGGTCTGAAGACAATAAATTTCTGATAACTTATTCAGAAATTAGTTTGATAAAGTTATAAAATTAGCATAACAAATGATTCCCCCACTACATTGTTTTCATTTATTTTATTTTAAAAATTAATTCATTTTTACCTTTTAAACTGGGATATTAATTAAAAATTTAAGATCATGAACTTGTTTAAATTTATGAAGGAAGCATCAATACATATTGCAAAATAAAAGAAAACAATGCTGTATTCTAACATCTCTATGTAATAGTAAATATGAACTATTACAGAAGAGACAGGCACTTTTGACTTTCTTAAATTTAAGGTTTTTCATATTTGATGTAAAGAATCCTTAATTTTTAACATGGCAAATTTTTAAGAAAACTTTACTTAAATTACATAATAACAAATTAGATTGTAAAATGATAATTACAAAAAATAATTAAGATAACAATTTAACTATTATTTTCTCAATCAAGAAATATAACATATCATAACGAGAAAATTAGATATAATTAGAATCAAAATTTCTGGGATTTATCAATCAACTTATGGATAAAGAGATATTCTATACATAAATAGCACTAATAATTCATAAACAGTTAAGTTTGTTTATTCTATTAATGATGTAAAATATCATATTAGTGATGGTATATTTCAGCATCTACATGTACAGTAGAACCTCGATTATCCGCCCTAATTGGGGACTGGGGTTGGCGGATAATTGAAAAGTCGGATAACCGAAAAGTATGAAAAAATCCATTATTAGTGTAGTATATTATTATATCCCATGTAATTAGTATATCGCTATTAACCTATTTTGCGTTGAATTTTCATCGATGTTAAGCCTAACAAAAATTTTTTAAAATAATAATCGTCGCTATTGTAGCGCCACATCACTAGCGGACATTTGAAATTTGCTGACTAGGACGGTCGGTTAACCAAGGGGTCGGTTGATCGGGGGCGGATAATCGAGGTTCTACTGTAATACAAATTAGGAATGAACAAAATTTGTTTTAATTTTTAATTTAGTAATAATGAGTTGACTGTCCCTAAAAAAAAATATATAATATAAAAGTTGATAGATTTTGTTGTTAAAATACTTGAAAACTATTCCAGAAAAATTTGTTATTAGTACTGAAAAACAAATCTCCAATCTTTATTAAAAACATTGGACCAATGTTTTTAATAATTTTTTAAATAGGTTTAAACACAAAAATCTAACGGTAAAGATACATATAACATAAACGATCATTCATTGATAAATTCCTATATATCTCTTCATCAATTGAATTAAATCTATTGATGTTACAACTTAAGAAGATATTAAAAATCAAATAATCAATCTTAATTTGTTATAAAGTTGCACTTTGACTAATTAAACTACAAATCTATGTAATTTGGATTAAAGGTAGGCAATTAAGTCACCATTTCATATTAAATTAAATAAATAATTTAGAATATTCTGGATGAAAAGCTTGATCTGGAGTGGAACTTGGATTTACAACTTCTATTTGCCATGCAGATATATTGCCAAGTATGTTATCCATTTGATCTCTGCTTCCAGTTTAAATATTTAGAAAATATAACCAAACAGGTAGCTCACTGCATAGTCTGATGATTACTAAAATCCCATAGCCCTCCTTGGTTACATCTTCTAAAATCATTTAGTTTGGAAGCAAAGATTGGATGGAGATCTGGATAGCAGAAGTTGCAGATTCACACCCTGCTTGGATCAATCTTTATTTCCAGAATATTCTAAATTATTTACTTAATTCTAAATATTAAGTTTAATAAAAGATAGTAGCATATTGCCTACCTTTAGTCCAAATGACAGAGCATTTGTATATTTAATTAGCCAAAAAGCAATCCAATAATAAATCTAGCTTGATTATTTGATAATTATTATGATTTTGGCTTAATTTCTTACATGATATTAAAATCTTTCACATCTCAATTTAGATATTTACAAAATTATTTTATCAATACTTCAGCAAGCTCATTAAAGTAATAATAACTTGCATAAGTATAATAAATGATTTTAATGCAATTTAACTAAGAATGATCAGAAGATATAAAAACAAAAATTTTTAATAGTTTAAATATTTACAGATTATTAAAAAAATTTTCTAAATTCCAATACTTATTGTTGTAAAATCTATTTCATTATATTTTATTTTATTAGTTAAGTTCCATTAATTATAATTTGTAAAATTGTAATCGTTAACTAATCACCAAACATATGCCGTAAATCCATCGGGCTAGTATTAAGGCTAATTACTAAATAAATTACGAAATTAATTTGGCACTAGAGGTAAGCGTTAGGTGCCATCTCTTATTAATATTAATAATTATAAATAAATTAATTAATTTAAATAATTTAGAACCGCTGGGAGAAAAATCGGCCCGGAGCGGGACTCGAACCCCACAACTCCTGCTTACCGTGCAGATGCGTTGCCAGTTACGCTATCCAGACCTCCGATCCGATCTCCTCTTCCAGCGTATAACTATGTAACCATCGACGGTTATTACAATGCCGGCTGGGGACACATTCAGTGCCCACGTCCTACTCCTATAAGGCACTCAACCGGCCATCGCAAGCCCCGGCAAGGCGTAATNAGTTATACGCTGGAAGAGGAGATCGGATCGGAGGTCCGGATAGCGTAACTGGCAACGCATCTGCACGGTAAGCAGGAGTTGTGGGTTCGAGTCCCGCTCCGGGCCGATTTTTTCTCCCAGCGGTTCTAAATTATTTAAATTAATTAATTTATTTATAATTATTAATATTAATAAGAGATGGCGCCTAACGCTTACCTCTAGTGCCAAATTAATTTCGTAATTTATTTAGTAATTAGCCTTAATACTAGCCCGATGGATTTATGGCATATGTTTGGTGATTAGCTATATTACATCAGGTTTAGCGATGTTTATATGTAATCGTTAACATTTCTAAAAATTGGTAATTAAATAAAAACAACTTTGCTTAGTACATAATTAATTTAAATATTAATAAGAGATGGCGCCTAACGCTTACCTCTAGTGCCATATTAATTTCGTAATTTATTTAGTAATTAGCCTTAATACTAGCCCGATGGATTTATGGCATATGTTTGGTGATTAGCTATATTACATCGGGTTTAGCGATGTTTATATGTAATCGTTAACATTTCTAAAAATTGGTAATTAAATAAAAACAACTTTGCTTAGTACATAATTTGTCTACAAAGATTTATTTTATTACTAGGACTTATTATGCTGGTGACTTTGTTCTGCACATGTGAAAAATAAAGATTGTTTTTTTTCTGATATGTTTTCTTAAATTGCAGAACAAAGTCACCAGTATAAGTCCTAGTAATAAAATAAGTCCTTGTAGACAAATTACGTACTAAACATAAGATAAGGACACAAAGGCATATAATTTGAAAAACAAATTTGCTATTTACATACACCAGGCCATATATGATGTATTTCTGTTCTGACTACTGTTTCCCAAGGATCTTTATTTCCATACCAATATTGACGACTTCTATAGATTACCCCACAGTTTGAACATTCTAATACATATCTGAAAAATATTTTCAATAATTATTGTAGTAATTAGTTTTTTATTTTAAAAAGAATCTAATTTAATAATGACTTCTTGTACAGTAGAGCGTCGTTTATCCGAAAGCCGGTTATCTGAAACATCGGTTAACCAAAAGCATTCCAGTCTGCAAATTTAAATTTTCGCTAGTGCTGTGGCACTGCAATCTTTGGCTATATCTTGGGCTATTCCAATATTTTTTTTGTTGGTGTGTGTGTTTTAGCTGGCAGCACTGGCACTTTTTGTGTAGTGTTTTTCTGAGATTGTGTGTCATGCTGAATCAAACATTTCTCATACTAGATTAACTTCTAAAGAATAATTTTTTTTTGTTTTTATATTTTTCAATATATTTATTTTGTTTGTAAAAAATAAATAAATAAATTTTAACAATACAATAGCCACGATTATTATTTTAAAAAGTTTACATTAGGCTTAACATTGATGGAAATTCAACGCAAAGCGACACACAATGGAAAAAAATTTCAACACTGGATAGGTTAATGTATTTTTTTGTACATAATCAGTTATCCGAACAACCTCAGTCCCCAATTGATTCGGATAAACGACACTCTACTGTAATTTATTCAATCCTAACACTAGTCAATTCTTTCCACAATTAACAACAAAATAAGTTATTTTTTATTGTAAACTAACCTACAAAAACATTTTCAATATGTTCACCTTCAGAAGAAACTTCCTGTAAATAAATATATGAGAAAACATTTTATGGTACAAATGCAGCTCTGAATGAGGCAATTTGGACTCTCAAATTTTAGACCCCTCTGGATAACCAAAAAAGCCAAAGAAACCATATATATATATATATATATCAAATAATCTTTATTTCTTTCCCTGACACTATGAGGCACAGTTGGGCAGAGTACACTGTAGCCTTTTGGCTTATAAATGGTAAGATTCCAAAATTAAAATAGGAACAGTCAGGTATCATTCTTCAGCAAAATTCTCCTCCTCACACCAACAAATCGCAAAAAGAAGAACATGGACCTCATCAGCCTGGAAGACTGAGCACTCTAGGAGAAGAACACACGCGTCAAAGAAAAATTCTTTTCCATCTGAGAACACAGACAAGGCACACCCAGTGCCATTACCAGTCCTTGATGAATTGGTGAAAACTTCCACATCTACTGAATAACACTGTCTTGCATACAGATCCCTCCTGTGGGCTGCATGTGGAAGTTCGTGTACTTTTTTGTTAACCTTGTATGTTGCCGAAGTGAAGAAACCTCGAATATTGACCTTGAATCCTCTGGAAATAAAATATAACTTTGCAGTCTTCTGAAGCTGTAGGTAGATGGGAAGCTTTTTGGCAATGACCTGCAGGGACTGATTGGAGGCAGTGGAATATGCACAGGTAAGCCAGATTAAAGCTCTCCTCTGTGCCAACAACAGTCTGTATTTGTAATATGAGTGGCCACTTCTAACAGCACATGCATAAGTGATTATTGGTATGAACACAATTGTAAATTGGGTTGAGGGCATCAAAACCCAGACTCAGACCCCACTTATTCTTGGAAGCTCTTTGACGACTGTTGACAATGTTTGTTCTATTTGTCATGTTTAATATGCACCTGTCAGGTAAGTTACTTGTCCAAAATTATGCCCAGAAAGTTGAGCTCTTTAATTAACGATTGTAACATACCTCCCTTCTATCTTGACATATAGAGTCCCTTTAATATAAGTCTATGTTGTGTGACCTCAAAGAAAACAATACCTCTTGTTTTTGAAGCATTAAAAACAAGTTTTTTGTGCCTGCCCCAATCACACACTACTGAAAGGATATTATAAGCTGCAGTCTCGAAGGCCTTCCTGGAGTTCACAGGAAAGATGATGAATGCATCGTCCACATAAATGAAGATGCAGCCATTGAAACCAAAGTCCATTCTCAAGAAGTTATCAAAAAGAATGTTCCATAAAAGAGGCCCACAGACAGATCCCTGTGGACAGCTCCTCTGATAAAGATATTGTGAACATAGTGGCTTCTCTATCGGAAAGGAAGCTTTCTGCAAGGTGAAAGAGGTTTGCAAAACAGCCACTTTGTGCCAGCCTATGGAGGGAATCTGTGGCCACCAAGCAGTGTTGAATGCATTTTGAAGATCAAGACTAATCCTGAAAACATTACTGTGTTCAAGCAGCTGCCATATGTTGTTAGTGAGATCAACTAGGGTATCTGTCATGCACCTCTGCTGGAAAAAGCCATATTGAGCAGAATGAGAAAGCTTGCTAACTTCCAGTTGCCAGGAAAGTCTGTCTTAAAAGATCCTGTCAAGTACCTTTCCTAAAGAGGAGAGAAGCGAGATGTTCCTCATGTTGCCCAAGGTAGAAGGTTCATTCCTTTTTTTTTTGGGAATCACCACCAGCTGAGCCTGCTCCCAGGCCTTAAGAAAGATACCAAAACTGAGGCACAAGTTGTATGTATTCAGCAGCATATCAGGATGAATCTTCCAAATCTCCTTAATGAGTTTTGATGCTATGAGATCAGAACCAGGAGCTTTCTTCTCATTAAGTTTATTAATAATATCACTAACTTCAAAAAAGTGAATGGAGGATCGTTGTCAATGAGCCTTCTCATTGGAATAAATGCTTTGATGTTACTTTGTTCCAAGGAATCCTCCTCCAGATTGTCTGGAGAACAGAAGTTATTGAAAAGATGGCCCATAATGGTCTCCAGAGAAGCATTCCCTCCTCCAAGGTCATTGGCACTACTCAGAACACACTGTGTTTTAAGTTTATCTGAACAGAATTCATGAATAAAACCAGGGGCAGATCTAGGTTTTTCAGGGCCTAGGGCTTATTGAAGTCCAATGGGACCCCATTTTTTGTTAATACAAATAATACTATAAATTATCATTATAATTNACCACACTTAATAGAAATGTACTCAATATTACATTTCACATGTAGAAGTTATCATCAACAATGCATAGTTTTATTTCATTATATAATATACAATGACTCCAGTTTACCAGGTTTTTAAAAAATTTCTATTATAAAAATTTGGGTCATGGAACCATTACAATTATACTGGGTTGCATGGGCAAAAAGATTGAGAAACACTGCCTCAGATCATTAAACATAACCAACCCCACTGAATATCTTTTTGTGGGCTTATGCAATATGTTGTTACTGTTTTAATAAAAAGGATAACCCTTGCAATCTCCAATGTTATACAGGAAATGCTAAACAACACTTGGTAACAAATCAGTAATCAATTGGGCATTTTTAACGAACTAAAGAAGCACATGTTTTGCATACATTCAGCAAACCTCAACAACTTCACCTTATATATTNCAATGGGACCCCATTTTTTGTTAATACAAATAATACTATAAATTATCATTATAATTATATTATTAATATTAACTATTTTTTACTATACAATAAGTGCTCATTGTTAATGAAAAAGTATAAAAAATTTATGATAATAATTCAATTTTTGTGGGCCCTTAGAACTTGGGGGCTCAGGGCTTAAGTCCTCTTAGTCCCTACGTAGATCCATCCCTGAATAAAATCCCATCAATCACTACCAGCATTGGAGCAAAAGTCTTTCCACAAGTCATACTTTGATTTTTTTATGGTATCCTTATAAAGATGCTATATGAGATACTCTTTCCTGAAAGTATCTTGTTGACGATCCCAACATTGTTGAAAACATTTATAGAGCTGGATGTTAGTAATTCTCATCACAGAGAGTTCATTACTCCACCATGGGATCACCTGTTGACCAAATTGCTTTCTAGGAATAGCTAGGTCATAAGCCTTATCAATCCTAGCGATAACATTGTCAATGAAACTCTCTGTTTGATCCATAGTACATATGCAATCAACATCGATGTCCAGACCCTGCAAAGTATCAGCAAAAGGCTCCAGTCTGCAGAGTTAATATTGAAAGGCAAGAAACCATACCTCTAGTTGTGACCCTTGGCAAGATATTTGCCACCAAAGTTTAACCAGACTCCTTGTTAAACATGCAATAGGATTAACAGAACATGTAGTATGACTAATTGTGCTTTGGAAATAGTTGGAAGTAGTTGCAATGGCATTTCTCATGTTTTACAAGCTTTTAGCAGTTTCTAGTATAGTATAAACCAGTTGATTTTTAGCATTCTGTTTTGAGAAATAGTTCCAGATTTTTCAAATTTTATTCCCTTTTTAGGATCTTCAAAATTCCAAATAGACTAATTTTAGGGGCTATATCCTGTGATTTTTTTACTCTTATGGACATAATCTACAGCTCTGATAAGATCCCAACCACCTTATTCAGGACTATATTTGTACTATAGATATCCTATAGATTAATTTATAGGAACAAATTAAAGCATTTTGTTAATTGTGGTGCAATGCTTTTAATATTGGTAAGTTAGAGATAAACTTTTAAGTATTCATTTTAATAATAATTAAAATTATAAAATATTTACCCTGACCAAGCATATTTAGCTAGCCCAAGCCATGGCATATCTGAAGAAGCACATGTTTTAGGATTTACAACCATCTCTTCACCTCTTTCATAACAACTCTGAAATAAACAGTTCATATTTTCAGTCTGTTAAGAGTGATTTATAATTATTTATCATACTTAAAAATAAAATCAATTAAGATTTTAAATGCTTATAATAGATTTTGAATATCCTAATTACAAATACTTTATCATCTAAAGTTATTAAATATTTAAATTTTTCAATTTAATGTTACATTTTAATAATTATACAGAATAGCTACAAAGTGTTATAAATTAAATATATGTTATAGCCTGATAGTTATTCTGGTCTTATCATTTAATTGTTAGATAAATTTAGGCTTGAATATGAATTTAAATGTATGTTCATTTTCTTCACAAATTTAAATTTTTCCTCAAGCTCTTCTGAACATCATATTCCATGTTGATGGGTGGAAGTCATTAAAGCAGTCTCTGATAGTTGTTTTAGGTATTCAAACTATGTATGGTAGAATTTAGAAATTTTTTCTTTCACAGTGCTCAAAAGCAAATAATTACTTATTAAGTTTGGACTCTGTGATCCAGTAACTGCATAGCCTCCTCATTCAATCTGTGACCGAAGGGTCGGCACCTCTTTGGTGCCCTGTCAGGATGACACCACCGCGTCTCGGCGGACACGGAAGCCGCGTTATTTAGGTCACGCGAGCGGTCGCGTAACGGGGCGATCAGAGTCGAGATAGGAGGAGAGACAGCGCACCGGAAGTGATTTACTCAGACGCTTTTTTAACGTAACAACTGTTTAATGGTTAACGATAGGATATACATTAGGGCTGCTATTAGATACATTGCTCGCTTTAGTATATAATAGTATTTAGATATTAAGATATTAAGATATTACGTTTCTTCCCGTTTTGAGAGAGAGAGTTTACAGAAGTTCGCGTGTCGATATTTACCTTGTATGAAATCCCAAAAGAAGACAGTTCCGGACTCAGAAAACAGAAGACACAGTTCTTAGGCGTAGAAATATCCAAAGGCGAAGAAATATCCAAGGGCAAAGAAATATCCAAAGGCGAAGAAATATCCAAAGGCGAAGAAATATCCAAAGGCGAAGAAATATCCAAAGGCGAGGCACAGGGATAACGGGAGTGGTCCGAACGAGGAACTGGTGACGACTGACTCACTTTTGTTGTCGTGTCTAATGTTGAATTGTTAAAATCGCGCTATTAGGTCGAAAGGTGCTGAGAAAGCGTCGTTATTACGCCTGAGAACTTAGCAGATGTTTAGCTCCCAGTTGTAAAAGTTGACAGTTATTAAACAAAAGTATAGCTGTACTGTGATCTTATGACACCGTGGAATGAAGGTAGAACTACAATGTGATATTATGATGAGATGATATAAACACATCCGAATTCGGAATCTCACAAATCTATCAACCAATGAATTTGTTATTGAGGTTTTAGCTAAACCAAAGATAACACTCACATATAGGAACTTTGAAGTCATTCTGTATGCATAATTATTATACTTATCATTGTAAATGTAAATTATTGCATCTGTGACATTTTAACTTGTACATTATTTGTAAAAATTAGTATATTTAAAATTTAATTTTTAATTGAAAACACATATGAATGATTGATTATAATACATATATATTTTATATTATATTAAATTATATTATGATTATATACATATAATTATAATTGTAATAATTTCCCTTCAACATCTTATATGTAAACCAAATTAATCTTGATTTTTAAAACGAATCATCTCAGATATAATGCAATTTAATATACTGAAAATGCCACAAAACTGACATTTTACAATTTTTAACATTATTATTATTATTATATAATCATGTCATCACTTTACAAGATTCTTACCTCTTGCATTGCAAACAAAATATACAATCATATTGATGAACATGACATTCCTACAGAACAACAAAAAGGCTGCCGTTGAAATTACAAAGGTTGCAAAGAACTACTACTTGTTGACTCAAGTTCATAAGCAACACATGCCATACATTGATTACAGAAAGGCATTCGACAGTGTCCCACACGCTTGGCTGCTGCACACACTTTGCATCTATAAAATCCATCCCTATCTCATTAGTTTCCTTGGTTCTACCATGCTTCATTGGAGAACAACATTACATCTTAACAATCCATAACACTCACATAAAAACAAATCAAATACACATCAAGTGAGGAATTTTTCAAGGAGATTCCTTAAGTCCTCTTTGGTTCTGCCTTGCACTTAATCCTTTATCTAACACATTAAACAAAACACAATACGGCTACAATATTAGACACAACAAAACAACACGGTTCACTGAATATCACACCTCATGTACATAGACGATATCAAACTTTACACATCCACTCAAAATAAGCTTCATCAGCTCTTTCCTCCCTTGCATTGGAAACTGACAACCATACCCATCTAGACCAAGAAAGGATATTACATCTCTTGATGGAAAAATCATATATTTAGCATTTGGAAAAAATTTAAATATAAAAAACATCAAAGGAGAACTCCACCATCAACTGTAAAGAGAACAACTCCCTGGTGCAAGCCTGGAGAGCCTTATTCAAGCTCCAAAATACCACTTTCCAAGGGTAGTCATGTAACATTCACAGGTGACCAAACATTACAAATCATCCTTTGGTGGCGGCAAGTGTTTTTGCCACCACCAAAGGTTGATTTGTAATGTTTTTGCATGCCGAGGAAGGGAAGTAGCCTCCAGATAAAGGTTGACTCCACTGCAAGATTTGTTATTTCCTATTGGTATGTGAAGGAGAAAAGGAAGGAGGACACGCATAGAGTTCATCCATAAGAAATTTTGTAATTTTTCAAAATTAATTCTGATTATTAGACTGAATAAAAAATTGACAACTTAACTGCCTACTGTTAGTCAAAATTATATAATACTAGCTGCAAGGACCCGCTTCACTGGGTTTTTATTTGTTTGTACATTTGTATGTAATATAGTTTTTGTTTTTTATATATAAAAGACTGTTTTTCTAAGTAATCTAGAATCTAGCTGCAAGGACCCGCTCCGCTGGGTTTATATTTGTGGGCAAAAAGTAACGATAGTGAAGATTAAGATAATTACATTGTAGCCAATCTTACCCATTTTCACAGAATGCAAGAATTAGGTCCCCCGTTTCCAGACTAATTAGAGACCTGGTCCCGATTCTATTTCTGAACGTCCCCTGTTCATGTCCAGTCAAACGAATTATTTTCAACGTTTCTGGAACGTTTACAATCGTTCTATAATCGAACCAATATTCAAATTTTATGTTCGAATTTAATTCGAATATTGTTCGAATTAAATTCGAACAAATTCAAACAAATTCGAACAAAACATTCGAAATAGAAAGCCACTTTCAACCACTTTCAGCCTCATATCTCCCGCANCTTTCCCAAGACCAAATCGCTTTGGATAGAAGACAATGCTGTGCGTTTGGTGGGATCAGCAGGGTATTGTCTACTATGAGCTGTTGAAACCTGGTGAAACTGTCAATGCTCACCGCTACCACCAACAACTGATCAAATTGCACTGTGCTCTGCGTGAAAAAAGGCTGGATTATCAGCAAAGACACGACAAGCTGATTTTCCTCCACGACAATGCATCATCGCATGTGTCAACATTGGTCCGAAACTACTTGGAGACACTCAACTGGAAGGTGCTACCCCATCCCACTTATTCACCAGACCTGGTCCCTTCCGACTATCACCTCTTTTCATCGATGGGCCACGCGCTTGCGGAGCGGCACTTCGATTCTTACAAAGACGTCCGAAAATGGCTTGATGAGTGGTTTGCCTTGAAAGAGAAGAAATTTTTTGGCATGGTATGGGTATCCACACATTGCCCGAGAGATGGAACAAATGTGTCACTAGTGAGGGAAAGCACTTTGAATAAATTTGTTTTTGCTTTCTAAGAAAAAAACGTGTGTTTTTCTGACTAAAAAACAGCGGATTTAAGCTTATATGCCTATGTAGATCTTTCTTAGACACCCCTTCTTCATTTTTCATTTTATTAAAATAACATAAGTTACATTTCCTGATTTCGCTGAGCATTATCAGGATAATGCTCAGCGAAATCAGGAAATCTTAGACACCCCGTATAATCCTAACATAATGATTATTATACATAATTATTATATAAAAGAGCAAATTTTGAAAAGTGGCATCTTATAGCTTTATGGGGCCCAGACAAATTTGAATTAGGGGGCTCCACATACTGTGCTGAATACAGACATTTTTCTTTGGGAGATATTTTCTTATAAAAGCTATGTTAGAGGCCTTCTGTTGGTGATGCCCCCAGGTAATTGCCCATAGAACAATGTGCCATTGATTTTAAAGTTGCATTTTTTATTAAATTGTTTGCATTTTCTATATGAAAAACTTATGGGCCACGCCATCCATCTTGTCAAGTTATAGAGATGAACAAACATAAGCATTTAAAATTAATATTCATTTTCCAATTACCTAATCCAGATGTTTGACATCTGGATTTTCAATGCTTTGCTGCATTTACATAATGTGTATTTCATTATGTAAAAATACATAAAATGACATTTATTGTTTTAATAATTAATGAAACAAAGTAAAGTTAATAAGTATATAATATTTGTATACATACAGTATGTATATAAGAATCATACTCTATGTAGAAAAATAGATGTTATAAAAGTATATATGATGTTTTCATTTATTTACTCAGTCAGGGATCCAAAAATTTATACATTATAAAACAACTTTTGAAATAGTTTGAATAACTCATATATTATTATTATCATTATAGTTTAAATAATACATTACCTACAGACTTAATTTTATACATTATTCTAAGAATATAATGAATTTTATTCATTGTATATATAGAATAATTCAGGAGAAATATTATATTTAATATTTACCAAATACCACAGTTTCACATTTTGAAAGCATTAAAATATCTAATATAGTAATGTTTTTTAAAATGACAAATTTCAGTAGTGACTGCAACCATTACTGAGTCAAGATCTATTGCTTTTCAATAAATAAGATTAGAAGTCATAAATTCAACATTAATGTAAAGCTCTTGAAAAATCTTATAA